TCTGCATATATTTTTTCGAAAAACCCACCTGTGATGTATATCAACAGCCGCGGCAGCAACAGCATCAATTCCCATTGACGTCATGAATATATGTTCGCATGCATGGGCTATTGGTTGCTTTGCTATTCCTTTCTTTTTATTATTGCTGTTGTTTCTTATAAATTCTCTTCATTACAGATTGATCTCAAAAGGCACGAGAAGAAGCTATGACCAGCGGTATGAGAAGAAGAAGGAGATGAAAAAAAAACGCAAGTTTTCACAGATCAATCTTTAGATTTCTCAATGTTGTTTGTTTTTCTGTCATCTCCATTGACCACTGTTTTGGTGTGGCATGAGTTGGAGGGAGAGAGAGAGGGAGAGAAGTTGTAAGGGCCAGTCTTGTATGGGATGGGTGAAGTATTAAACAGCTGCTGGGATTTTTCTTTAAATAAATATGGCGCAAATATTGCGACCTGCCAGTTTTGGACTATATCGACCAGAACCCCTTCGCAGATAAATATCACCTTTACAACAGATCTTGTGTTATCAAAAATGTTTGTATGTGTGAAATTTGAAGAGAGTGGGTGTATATCCGTTTTCCGTGAGCGTTTTGGTTTTCAAAATCGTGAACCCTATGTGAGGGAGGTACCACAAGAAATGGTTCGATCTCTACGATCTTTATAACACGTCTTCTATCAATGGAAATATTGAGATATACAAAGTCTGAATGGAATCGGATGTTAATTTCGCATTTTATGAGCTTCATGGACATTCAAAATTTTGACCCTTTGTGGGGAGGTACCAGAAGGATACATCGATATATCCCATCTTCACATCACACCTAGTGTTAGTAGAAATATAGCGAATTGTGAAATATGAAGAGAACCGGATGCTTATTTAGGATTTTATAATCGTTTTGGTTATTCAAAACTTTGACTCTTTGTGGGAGAGGTACAAGAATAAATGATCGGATCTCTACCATCTTTATAACAGATCTTGTGTTGTTGCAAATATTGAGATGTACTAAGTCTGAATGGAATCGGATGTTCATTTCGTATTTTATGAGCTTCATGGACATTCAAAATTTTGATCCTTTGTGGGGGAGGTACCAGAAGGAGTAGACCGATGTATCCCATCTTCACACCAGCTATTGCGTTGATAGAAATATTAGTTTGTGTGAAAGTTTTGTGAAAAAATCGGAAACCTTCTACGTACTGTGAGGGACGTACCTGAATGAGAGGGTCGTTATATTGTACTGATAAAAATATTGGGACGAGTAAAATTTGAAGAGAATCGGATGATTATTTCGCATTTTATAGGCTTCTTGATTATTCCAAATTTTGACCCATTGTGGGGGTGGTACAGAACTAGCAGACCGATGTATCCCATCTTCACACCAGCTATTGCGTTGATAGAAATATTAGTTTGTGTGAAATTTTTGTGAAAAGATCGGAAGCCTTCTTCGCATTTTATGCGCTTCATGGTTATTTAATATTTGTACCCCTCTGTAAGGGAGGTACCAGGGGGAATGGACCGATATATTTCATCTTCATGATCAATCAGAATTTTTACCCTTTGTGGGGGGTGGTACCTGAAGGAGAGGGTCGATATATTCTATAATCACACCAGATCTTGTAATGATAAAAATATTGGGAAGAATAAAATTTGAAGAAAATCGGATGCTTATTTCGCGTTTAATAAGTGTTTTGATTATTCAAAATGTATATAAATGTGGGGGAGGTACCAGAAAAAGTGGACCGATATATTCCATTTTCACACCAGATCTCGTGTTGGCAAACATATTGGAATGAATATAAATTGAAAGAAATCGGATGCTAATTTTGCATTTCATGAACTTTTTGATTATTTAAAATTTTGACCCGTTGCGTGGGTTGTACCGAAAGGGGTGGGTCGATCTTCACACCAGATCTCGTGTTGATAGAAATATTTCGATTTGCCAAATTTCAAATTAATCGGAAGGTCACTTCGCCTTCTATGAGCGTTTTAGTTATTCAAAAATTTGAACCCTTTGTGGGGGGGAAGGTACCAGAAGTATTGGTCAGAACCCATCGTTCTTCGTAGTAGATCTTTTGCTTGTCGAAATATTAAGAAAATTGGATTCTCATATTTTATATTTTATGAGAGCTATAATTATTCAAAATATTGACCATCTAAGGGGGAGGAACTTGATGGAGTTGGCCGATAGTGTCCATTTTCGAACCTGACTTAGAAGTGATAAAAATATTTGGAATTGGAACTCGATCTTAGTTTGTTAATAATATTACGATGTACCAAATTTAGGCGAAATCGGATACTTCTTTCGAGACTTATCGCCAGTCAGACGGATGGATGGCCCCTAGATCGTCTCCAAATGTCCTGAAACGGATTTGGTCCAAAGATGATTGGGGTCTAATGATTTTAGACCCCAGTAAAATCATTATTTCGATAAGGCACGTTTTGGCCGTATCAAATGACCCCTTGTGAGTGAGGTACTTGATGGAGTTGGCCGATAGTGTCCATTTTCGAACCTGACTTAGCAGTGATAAAAAATATTTGGAATTGGAACTCGATCTTAGTTTGGTAATAATATTACGATGTACCAAGTTTGGGCCAAATCGGATACTCCTTTCGAGACTTATCGCCAGTCAGACGGATGGATGGCCCCTAGATCGTCTCCAAATGTCCTGAAACGGATTTGGTCCAAAGAGAACTGGGGTCTAAAATCATTATTTCGATAAGGCACGTTTTGGTGGTTTATAATATATACCCTCTATAGTCATATGACCGAGGTTATAAAAATAAAAATAGGAGGCATATCCCTCTGATTAAAATTTATCCCACACGAATTTGGTATCATATACATATTTCAATATTTCCTTTATTCAACTTTCCTTCCACTTTTCTGTTCTAACTTTTTTCATTCTATTGCCCTACCCTTCCCTTTTTTCCTCCGGTAACATATTTAGTACTCCAAGGAATTTCAATTTTTCCAATTAGTTGGCTATTCCCAATGTTGTTCTCTCTCTCAAAGAACTTCCTGTGTAACCTTTTTTCCCTTCAACTATTCCTCCGGCAAAAAAAATCCTACTTTGTTGTATAACAAGTCGCATAACTTCAACATTCCATCAATCCATCTTCCTGTCGCCATTAAGCCCTATGCTATGAACAACATCACATCCAAGCCGAGACAAGCGAGAATTTCTATAATCGCCAAGTTCCATTGTTGAAATCAGCCAAAGAATTGTCATAAAAAATTAACAGGCATTTAAAACATTTAACAAGCTTTACTACTACTACTTATTAAGGAATATTAAGTATTTATGTTTTCATTGCAGGCGGGTAGAGGGGTGCGGGGTATTCATTAGAAATTTATAAGGAAAAAAACCTTCGGCTGGTGTGTAAAAACTAAAATCCAAACTGGTTCATGTTTAGCGCCTTCTCTAATTCTTTTGATGGCACATCATTTTGAGTTGCTCACTGAATGACTGCCTGGCCGGCCATCTGACTTACTGGCCATCTAGTGGTCTGATAGTGTTTGACTCTCACAACAAAGTATATTTTTATGGCAACTGGATGACAAAGATTAATGTGTTGTTGGCAGATTTAAAATTTTGTTCATTTTTTTGATTTAATTTTTTGAACGATTTATGATTTCTTCGAGAGTAATTATAAGTATTGAGTGTTGCATTTTGTGGGTGATTTATGTATTTTTTTGGAAATTAACAAAATGTTTGAAATCAGAAAAAAATAAACAAACGATTTTTGTATTATTTACCTGCGGAATTCGACGATATTAGGTGTTCCCAGAGCCAAATTAATGTTCGGTGGATATTTTAAACGAATTCTTTTCTTTCATTTTGACTTTTATCCTTAGAAAGGTATATATTTTGCATCCTTCAAAAATAAAATTAATAAATAAATAGAATATATAAATATAAAAATAAATAAATACGTTTAAAAAAAGGAAGTCAAAATTAAAAAAAAAATTATAAAAAAATATTTATCAATTAATTTTTTCATGGAACAATAATCCTGAATTGAGCCACTGAATTTCCACTTCATTTTCTGAAGAATAATTTGTCCACTTTTAATTTATAATTATTTTTTATACCCTCCCCCATAGTATGGAGAGTATATTAAGTTTATCATTCCGTTTGTAACACCTCGAAATATACACTTTAGAACCAAATATATATTCTTGATCAGCATAAAATTCTATGTCGATTTAGCGATGTCCGTCTGTCTGTCCGTCTACCCGTCTGCGAAAATCACCCTAGCTTCCGAACGAAATGAAGTAAGTTAATAAAATGTTACTCAAATTTCTATTATATCTGCAGAACTTTTGGTATTAAAAAAGGGCCATGTAGGTCCACGTCTTCCTGTAGCCCCTATATAACGGTACCCCCCGATATTCCGTATTTTGATGATTTTAGCGACATTATTTACCGGAACTATTTCAAATTTGGTATTTATAGTTCGTAATGGATACTACAGCCTATGACAGAAAATTGTCCGTGCAGGTCAACGTCTTCGTATAGCCCCCATATAACGATACCTCCCGATATTCGGTATTTTGATGATTTTAACGGCATTATTTACCGGAATTGTTTAAAAGTTGGGTTTTGAAATTCGTAATGAATACTACAGCCTATGACAGAAAATTGTCTGTACAGGTCCACGTTTTATAACTCCCATGGTACCTCCCTACATTCGGTATTTTGATGATTTTAGCTGTATTATAAACACATATTTTTTTTCAAGTTTCGCATTAGAATATTGTAGTAGCTTATGCCAAAATTTGCCTATGCAGGTCCACGTCCTCGTATAGACCCTTATATACGGCTACATTCAGTATTTTTTAAGATTTTAACGGAATTTGTAACGGATTTTATTTTATTTTTTTTTAAATAACAAAATATGTTCCATTTTGTGGAGGGTATTCAAAATTCGACCCGGCCGAACTAACAGCTTTTTTACCTTGTATTTTTTAATTAATCAATATGTTTCCCTTTTATTTCCAGATATCTGCCATTGGTAACTTTGAATTAGAAATATTAGAAATTTCAAACACAAATAACCATTTATTGTCGGGTTATTGCTGTGGAGTTCCTTTAGCCTTAAGAAGAACAAAAACAACGGGTAAGTGGACATGTCCTTAATTTAAACTCAAGGATCCTTTTTTTTTGTTCGTGAAGTCTTCTAGGCCTGTAAAAACCAGATTTATATCGAAATTATAAAAATGAAATTAATTGAATATACAAAATATCGTTATATTTATTAAATATCCGGAAGAGATTTTGGTCGGTTTTAAAATTATTTTCATATTATTTTTATTATTATTATTATTATTATTATTATTATTATTATTATTATTATTATTATTATTATTATTATTATTATTATTATCATTATAATTATTACTTTCATTTATATTAACATTTTTGTTGTTGTTTTTTTCTTTCCCCAGGTTGTCCGCCATGTTCAACGGCCTTCCGTCTGTGTCTGAAAGAATATTCAGCCGCGGAGCAGGGCATCCCCAGCATATCAACCGGATGTTCATTTGGCAACACAACCACTGGCATTTTGGGTGGATCCAGTTTCGTTCTTAGTGATCCTGGCCGAGGAGCCATGATATTGCCTTTTACCTTTAGATGGACGGTGAGTACAAGAAAGAAATAGAATTAAAAAACACAAATGCTAAAATAGGAGCTACCTTAATTTTAAATTAATATTAAATTAAAGATCTCAGAGGGCGCTATGTTAAGTCCATGACGTATACAACTTTTTTTTTTTTTTTTTTTGTATAGTTATTGTTGACCTTTGATCAATATATCAATATATATTGTTTGGCTTGAGGTCAGTATTTACAAAAAACAGACGATTTTTTTTTTCCAAAAAAAAATCTATAAAATACTTCAAAAACGCCAAAGTAGGTCTGAATAAGTTATTTTATCAATAGACGAATTTCTGCACAAGAAGCTACTCCTGCTAAATAAGAAATGAATGTAGAGAATTTTTAGGGAGAAGACCCAATGTACTAATGAATTTTGAATACCCTCCACTATTTGGTACAAATGTGGCCATTTTTAAAGAAATAAAATCCGTTAAAAATTCTGTTAAGGTCTATACGACGACGTGGACCTGCAAAATTCAAATGCGAAACTTGAAAAAAAAAATCTGTTTATAATGTAGCTAAAATCATAAAAATACCGAATACAGGCAGATACCAAGGGGGTTATAAAACGTGGACCAGAACAGACATTTTTCTGTCATAGGCTGTAGTATCCATTACGAACTTCAAATGCGAAATTTGAAACAATTCCGGTAAATAATGTCGCTAAAATCATCCGAATATCAGGGGGTACCGTTATATGGGGGCTATAGCAAGACGTGGACCTGCACAGACAATTTTCTGTCATAGGCTGTAGTATTCATTGCGAACTTCAAATACTAAATTTGAAATAGTTCGGGTAAAAAATGTCGCTAAAATAATCAAAATACCAATATCGGTGGGTAACGTTATATGGGGGCCATACGAAGACGTGAACCTACATGGCCCATTTTCTGTCTTAGGATGTAGAATCCATTACGAACTTCAAATACCAAATTTGAAGCGATTCCGGTAAATAATGTCGCTAAAATCGTCAAAATACCGAATATTGGGGTACCGTTATATGGGGGGCTATGCGAAGACGTGGACCTACATGGTCCATTTTTTTTTTTTGTCTTAAGCCGTAGTATCTATTATGAGCTCCAAATATTAATTTTGAAAAAATTCCGGTAAATAATGTCGCTAAAATCATCAAAATACCGCATATCGGAAGGTACCGTTATATGGGGCTATACGAAGCCGTGGACCAACATAGCCGATTTTCAATACCAAAAGTCCTGCAGACATAATTCACATTTGAGTAAAATTTTATCAACCTACTTTATTTCGTTCGGAAGCTAGAGTGATTTCCACTGACGGACAGACAGACGAAAATCGCTAAATCGACATAGAATTTTATGCTGATCAAAAATATATATTCTTTGTTGGGTCTAAAATGTATATTTCGAGGTGTTACAAACGGAATGACAAACATAATATACCCTCCATACTATAGTGGAGGATATAAAAATCTTTAAAATACTCCAAAAAAGTCAAAGTAGGTCTGAATAAGTTATTTTATCAATAGACGAATTTCTGCAAAAGAAGATACTCCTTCTATATAAGAACAGAATGTAGACAATTTTTTTTTTGGGGAGATTTCCCCACGAATTCCTAAAAGAGGTATATTATTTAAAGAATAAGAGGACAGAGGACAGTTTTTAATAGTCTGATTATATAAAAATAGATAAAATACTATAAGAGTTATCAAAGGATGCCCATTTTCAAAAAATCTCAACAATTTCACCATTTAATTTGGCTTCAAAAAATAGCAGAAAAAATTAATGCCTCTTTAAATTACCTCAAAAAAATATTGGTTTTGTCTCACCCCTTGGGTCAAAAGAATTTGTTCGCCATCTTCCTCTTCACAATTTGTTCAAACAATTTATTTAACATTTATAAGCCTGAAATTTACTATTATTTATAACTAATGATGTTAATTCTATGAAAACTGTGGGTTATCACTGCCAAAAAAAAAAAAAACAACTCGACCCGCTTAAAAAAAAAATCATGTGGCGAAGGGTACTGACATTCCAAAACAACCGATTTCAAAGTACTTAACTTTGTTTTCTAAATAGTTTTTAAAAAACTACAACACCACCAACAACATTGTTTCTTCTATAATTGTAATTAACAACAACAACAACAACAGCCAAATGAACGCTAAGCATGTGCGCGCCTGCGCAATCACACATTGAGAAGCAACCGGCATTCCATTGTTCGTTCGTTCGCTCAATCGGACGAGAGTTGAAACCAGAAAACCAAAAACAAATGGAATGAAGTATTGTTTTGAAGGTGTTATTTTGGCGTTTGGCGTTCCAAACATATTTATCATTTTGGCCGTTTTCAAACTGTGAACTGTGTGTGATGGACGTGGAAAATCTAACCGAGATGGGGGGTAAATGAGGCATGGCTAACATTGGTGGGTTCATTTAAAATGCAAACAGAACGAAGAAAAAATCAACTTTATTTCAAATCTTGCTTACTAATTAATTCATAATTTAAATTTGTGAGTTCAGGATTAGAAAAAAAAAAAAATAAAATGGATTTTAGTACTCAATCATGACTCAGTTGTTTTTCGTTGTTGTTGTTCCGTTTTAAAACAAATGTTGTACAACAAACTAATTTAAACATTTTTCGTTAATGTTCCTTAAAATATTGAAATTAGGTTTCGCCCTCAAAATTTCAGTTTTTGTTGTTGTTATTGTTGCCCTGGTGTTATTCATGCTTCACAGCTTGTCCGAACAACCCTGCGTTACGCTTTAATTGTGGGCTTCTTCTTACAGTTTAACCTTTTAATTTTTGGTTTTCTTGTGGCGGGGCAAAAAAAAGGCAATTAAAATCAACATTTTTTTTTAAATTTTTTGGCTAAGCCATTCATTCCGGCCACACGCATCTTCGGAACATTTCCTGGCTTAGCCAAAGTCAATCTCTTTTTTTTCGGCCATTTAACAAGATCACATCTAACGTATTTTCAGGCCATCACTTTGAGTTGTAAATGTTTGTTGTTTTTGCCACCACTTCTTGCCACACTTGGTTGAACGTTCGCTTCCTTTTGTCATGGGTGTTTCATTCTTGATATGCCGTGAAAAAAAATATTCAACCAACATTTTTCGGATTATAATCCCTAAATGTTGTTTTTGTTTTATGTTCTTCTTCTTCTTTCTTTTTGGGAATATTAAAATTAATGATGTTTGAAAAAAATTCTTGTGGGGTAGTCTGTTGATTATATTTGGCTATACAAAAATGAGAAAAAAGTTGAAGATTTTATGGTCTATTGCCGGGCAATAAAATATTTCATTTCAAAATCAAGACGTAACTCTATGGGAAGGTATAAATTTTTGAATTCAAAGCAGACTCGCGTCCAAATAAAAAAGAGCCACCAAAGAGGTTTATATACAGAAGACTTACAAGATCTCCAAATATTGCATACCTTTTTGAGCTTTTCCACACTGAGATCGATATGAAAGATAAAAAACCTTTTGAAGGATTTGATTATGATTTTTTCCGACCTTCGACAGACCGACGACCTTTCTGAGGCCCAACAGAAATAGAATACCATGTAGAAGACTAATTTGGCTTACTCTATAGATTAAAGACATTTTTGCAGAGTCCTATAGAGTATATCAGGTCTTTAATACATATAGAACTAATTGTTAAGGTTTTCAGCCGATAAAGAAAAGATCCAGATAGATAATCTTTGTATACCCTCAGTCATATGGCCACAGAGGGTATATAAGATTTGTTACGGCAAAAATGTTCCCAATTTTAGACCTTAGGTTTCTTTTGGAGAAACCATGTTCAGAATATTTAAAGTCGATCTAGCGCTCTCCGTGTGTCTGTTTAAAAAAAACTTGGTTCATCGTAATATTTTCAACAAACTTAGATGACAATATCGCCCCGCTCCTTCACCCCCTCCCCTCCCACAAATTCGCAAGTCAAAATACATTTTAATAAACGGATATCAGCCTACGGTATCATCAGAGTCTATACATGTCAACAAAATTGCCTGATGTTGGAATATGCTAAGCATAATGCCATTTTCGGGTATTTTATGCCGAAAGAAGGACTTTTGAATGTTGAGTTCATCGAAGAGATTTTTTTAAGATCTCCTAAAAATATGTAGATGGCCCCTTCGAGAAGACTTGGAAGGTCTTTTACAGAAGGAACACCTCTTTATGCCTTCTAAAGTTGAATTTTCAAGATCTTCTTTAGGATCGAAAACTTTTTTAGATTTTCTAAATATAGAAGATCTTAAAATATAGTTTCCTTTTACAAAAGATTTGAAAATGTTTTAGGGCATTTTAGGATCTCCTGAAACAGATGGTTATTATTTTTGAAATTTACAACCTCATCAGGGTGATCTTTCGATTTTTTTGAAACCACATACAAATACGATATATTTTAAAAAAATCATTTGATGCGGCAAAAATGTGTCCCATCAATTTATACCTTAGGATTCTTTTGGATAAACCCGTTTTAGGACATTTAAAGCCGATCTAGCGCTGTTCGCTGTGTCTGTATAAAAAATATTGGTGCTTCGGAACATTTTGAAGCTTTCATATATTGATAAAAAGCTATTTGGAGGTCATCAATACTCATACATTTTTTTTAAGAAATTTTGTGTTCCGAAATGTTTGTAAGATCTTCTTAGGCAAAAAAATGAAAAATATTGCTAAACTAGTTAAAAAGTATCAGTCGGTTTTGGCGACAGATGTATACCCTCAGTCAAATTGTTGACCCTCTATGGAGTAGGTCGACCGAAGTATTCTATTTTCATACTTCGTCTAAAAGATCTAGAAGGACGGCCCACGTTATATCTGATCTTTACATCTGATCTACTGTTAGTAGAAATAATGGGACGTGTGAAATATGAAGAAATCCGGATGCTTATTTCAGATTTTATAACCGTTTTGGTTATTCAAAACTTTGACCTTTGGTCGGGGGTGGTACCAGAAGAAATGGTCCAATCTCTACCATCTTCATAACAAATCTTGTGTTGATGGGA